AGAGCCCAGTCCTGTCCGTTCCCTCTCACTGATAAAGCAGACCTGGGTCCAGGCGTAGACGTGACTGAGGGGCAGTCAGCGGGGTTGAGTTACGCCACAGAGCCGAAGTTCCCCTCTGGTTGTTACCTGTGCCCCCCAAGTGTGACCCCCTCCCCTTCGCTTCCTGCGAAGACACCCTTCTCTGAGCCTCAGCACAGGTGAGAGGGCCAGCGGTGGGTACGCACACAGGGTGGTCATTGCCCAAATGTCCCAGCCCTGCATCTCTATCAGCCTGCCTTTATCCTATGAGGGGCAAGTCATCATCCTCATTTCACAGACGCTGGGTCGTCTGGTCAAGGACACATATCTGCATAAATGACAGAGCTGAGCTTTGAATCCAGGTGGTCCCTTCTGTGGTTCATGCTTAAATCCACCAAGGGCCTCCCACATCTGTCTAGTTCAGGGTTCTGTTCCAGCATCCTTCTTCCCCATCACACAGCCGGCCGAGTCTTCACCCGACAGCTTATTCCCAACACTTCTCTTTCTCTCATTTTCAGCTGACGTTTAATTAGCTTCAGCCCAGGGACCTCTGGTCCACTCTCTGGCTCCCCCAGGGTTGCCCCGTGTGTAACGTCTGTGCCGTGTGACTGTATGGCTGAGTAAGCAGTCCCTGGGGTCAAGGCCACAGGGCCCGACACACAAGCGTCCTGGGAGGTGCCCACGGCAGAGTGACGGTGGCTGGCCTGAGTCTGAGTGCGGAGCCAGGCTCAGTCCCAGCTGCCCCCAAAGGGGTGTGCACAGACATGCAAACCCAGGAGGTCCCTGAGGCCAGAGAGATGGGAGGAGGGAGGCTGGTCAACCAGGCCTCAAAGGGCACGGGAAGGCGCTTGGCTTCGGTCCTGAGAAATGAGAAGCTGCCAAAGCTTTGTGGCAGGGAGACTCCACCCTGTGACCCAGTCTCCATGTACCAGGCAGGCCAGACTCATGGTCCCCTAAAGGCAAGAACCTCATCCAGTTCCTGGGGTCACTGAGTGACAGGCAGAGGCATTTCTTGTACTTGGTGGTTTGTTTATTATCATTTGCTACTTTGTACCAGTTAGTGGAAGAACGAAGAGGTACTCCAGAGTGAAATCATGATTTAAAGCTGACAAATGTCTTGCTTCTGCCCCAGTAAACACATCATCCACGCATGACACATGCTCCCACACTTTATGACAAAGCCAGGTGAGAAGAGGAGTGAGGATTAACCCTATGCCATAGAAGACTTTTGGGGCAGTAAATTAACAGTGTACATGAGACTGGGAGAAGAAGACTTAGATTTCAATGTGAACTGCTGAAAATATTCTGGGAGTGCCGATTTAAGTACAAACAGTGGATTTTGAGTGGCCTACCATTTTTTGAACAATATTCCATCATTCAGGAAGTTTCTTGCCCACAACTACAAAAAAAGTTTTGAATTAATGAAGTTTAACTATATTTGGATGCCTCAGATAAATTGGAATTTGGAAAAGACCCTGATGCTCAAACGATTTAGGGCAGGAGGAGAAAGCGGTGACAGAGGAGGAGATGGTTGGATGGCATCACCAGCTCAATGGATAAGAGTTTGAGCAAACTCTGGGAGATGGTGAAAGACAGGGAAGCCCGGCGTGCTGCAGTCCATGGGGTCACAAAGAGTCAGACACGAGTCAGCAACTAAACAATAACAACAACAAATTAAATAATCCCAGGGCCGGGTGGAGAGGGAGGTGGGAGGGGGGACCGGGATGGGGAATACATGTAAATCCATGGCTAATTCATTTCCATGTATGACAAGAACCACTGCAATGATGTAAAGTAATTAGCCTCCAACTAATAAAAATAAATGGAAATAAATAAATAAATAAATAAATAATCCCAGGGCTCGGTTTATGGGTCCCTAATATTGAGCGATTACTGTGATTGACCCCAAATAAGCCACTGACCCCACACACGTCAAAGCCAGCCCTGGGTTTTAGCTGACTTTCCCTCTTACGCAGCCCGACACCTGAGCCTCCACGTGGCTGGGGCCTTTTTACCTCGTTAACGTTGTCCTTCACCTTTGTGGGGTTTTCCAGACCGAGAGCCGCTCAACCAGCTGCTCTCAGTAGTGGCAGATTCGTACTGAGTCTGTTTCTGCAAAGACAACCCGAAGGAAAAAAGACTCAACCTTTAAAAACACTAGACTTTATATGTCAAGAGCCTTAGGAATACTCATTCCTTCAATCCAGCAATTCGATTTTGGGGAATCACCCGTAAGAAACTGAGTGCAGAAGAAGCTGCGTGGAGTGAGAGCGACAACAGCCCCTCTTCTCTTAGAAAAGCACAGGAAGAACCCCAAGATGCAGTAAGGGAACAGGTGAGGAAAGCCAGGGGCAACCCTGCGGGGCCACGAGAAAGACGCTCATGACGAAGCTATGGGGACCCGAGACGGTTCTCTTTATATTACTTCATCACCTTGGAGACATCACCGACTGTAAGACAAACCACTGTTTCATGTATCACCAAGACAAAAATCTCAGGCTGGGGCAGCTAGTAAGAGGCATCTAAGTAAAACTGGGACACCCCCCCCCCCCCCGCCCCACCAAGGGCTATTCCCTGCAAGGAAGGGGAATGATAAACAGCCCTGTCACAGAGAAACGGCATTCGCCTTTGACCCAAGATGTAAGGAGGGAACAAAATTAGCCTTGAGAGCCTGAACAAGCCAGGACTCAGGCAGGCTGGAGTCTGAGCTTGCACTAACGCCACGGCCTAAAAACACGAGTTGCAACTGAATGTACGTGAAATTTAATACCAAGTGCTCTCAAGTTGACAGCACCCCCCAGGCGACCATCAGAAGCCAACAGAACCCCCTCTGGAAGAGCTGGATTTCAAAGCAGGCTGACAGAGCCTGTAAGACACCATCAGTTGAGCCATCAGTGCGTGACTCAGAGATGTGAAGGTAAGTGGCCGCAGGATTAATGTAGGCGAAAAAGAAGACTAAAATGGTATGTGGATAATGGCATGTCTTTTGCAGAGGCGACCATGTGGAACACACTACACTAAAATGTTAATAGTGGTTTTGTGTAGGTAGTAAGATGAGAGCTTTCTCCCCCTCTCTCTAAACAACTCATTTTCCAGATTCTCCTAAAGCAAGCATGTATTCAGTGGTCATAGAGGCAACAGGAGAAATAGAACAGGGTGATGCACAGAGGGAGGGAGTGGTCAGGGAGGGCTTCTCGGAGGTGCTTCCTGAACTGGGAAGGGGGGCGGCAAGGGAGCAGTCAGAGCTGTGCACGGTTGCATCCCACATCAGGACAGGGCCCAAGTGATGGGGTAGATGCTGGATACGTATTTGTTAAATAAATACACAAGTTGAGGAAAATCTGCTAAAACGTGAGCCTAAGCCTCCAGGGGCCTCAATCAGAGAGTCTGGCTCTTCAGTCGGCCCATTCTCACTGGACTGAGCCGCTGCACAGGGCCAGGCTACCAGCTGGGCCAACAGCAGGACTCAGGGAGAAAGTCTGCAGCTGAAAGTTCGGCAGAAAACTATGGTTGCGTCTAGTTTTCCCGTCTGTGAAATAAAGGTCATGCCTCTGCCACCACGTGAACTTCAGATAATACGGAGCTCTGAATTACTGAGCCCAGCACAGGTGCAGGGCTGGGGTGCTCCGGGGCGCACTCCTGGGGGCCCAGACGCCTCCCTGCAAATGCAGCATCTCTGAGCCTTAGGCAAGCTGCTCTGCTCTGCCGCTTAGCACACGGGAAAGCTGCCGCATCAGCTGCATCCTTCTTGCCTGCCTGTGCCTTCCTGGACACATCTGCTGCATACAGTCCTGAGCGAAAGAGGGGCTCTGCCCTCGGGGCGCAGGAACAGCCAGGCAAGCAAGGATAGGGCCCCAATGCCTGGGGGTGTGAGCCCCAGGACTGACCTCATGGCAGGGGAAGACAGGCTTCTCGAAGGAGGGACGCCTCCTCTAAAGCCAAAACAGAGACCAAGGCCAGCCACAGGATGGGGTGAGTGAGTGAGTTCTGATTTTTTCTACATTGTTTCCACTTACAATTCTATGAGTTCATCTCCATCTCACTGACGGGACCGGAGGTGGGAATACCTGCCAAGGTCACAGAGCTTGGGGACCACAGTGCCAGGGTTCACAAGCTGGCCTGGGAGATGGAGGGGACCACAGAGCGCCGGGGCGCCAAGGGGGGCACAAAGGGCCATGGGGGCTGTGGCCTCGAGAAGCTGAGCTGCGCAAACCCAAGTGGGTCTGAAAGGGGAACTGTCCCTGGGCCTTCTGTACAGATCGTTCTCTGGCCCAAGTCACTACTAGGAGGACATTCAGAGGGGGACCCTGTCTCCTGGGGCCAGACTCCTGCCCTGGTCCCAGCTGCTCAGGAGAACTGACCGTCCCGCAGGGCCCCATGCGATCAGGAGTCCTTTAAAAAAGAAAAGGCAGCAGAGATGCAGCAGGAGGATGAGCCACAGTGATTCAAAGTGGAAGAATGACTCAACCCAAGGCTGGTGGCCGTGAAGGGGGCCACTGACCAGGAATCGGTGACCCAGAGCCATCCCTGGCTGACGCTGGCAAGGAAAGGGGAGCCTCAGTCCCACAGCTCCAGGGAACTGAATGCAGAGAAGCTAAATGAACCCAGAAGCTGATTCTCCTCAGGGCCTTTCAGAAGGGAACGCGGCCCTCGATTCTGGCCTGTGAGACTTGAACAGAGACCCCGCTGCGCACCCTGTGCCCAGGCTCCTGACCACTGTTGTGAGCGGCTGCAGTTATGCCGAGCTGGAAAGAAGGGACGGGGGAGGGGGAAGGGAGAGCACAGGGCCCATGATGCTGGCCTGGGGCCTGGGCCTGGCTGCTGACCGCATATGCTCAGAGCAAGGGGCAGGGAAGACCACCCTGAGCAGGTGCAAATGGTCTCATTCACTCAACCGACTTCCCTCAAGCACTAGCTGCAACAGAAGCGCTCTCCAGGGGTCCAAGCTCCACTCTCACGGACAAAAAGATGGCCAAACAGACTCAACCCAGTGAAAGACGCCCCCCAGGAACAAAGCCCCTGAAGTGAAGGGAGGTCAGAGAAGGGTCATCAATCCACCAGGAGTCGAGAATGTTTTCCCGGGACTGAAGCCTTGTCTTGGGTCTTGGTAGTTCAGGAGGAAGGGAGGCCGGGATGGTGGGCTGGCCCTGAACAGAAAATGCAGAGATCAGCATGGCAAGCTCTGAGGGAGGGCAGCAGACTGGCAGGGGACCACAGTGGGCCAGGGCAAACTCGGGGGCCTCCCAGGTCAGCCGAGGATGCTGAGCAGGGCTGAGATCATGCGACATAGATGCACTGCAGGCCGCCGCCCAGAATCAGCATGACAGGCCTGCACTGGGGGACCAGGGCATTTACACCCGGGGGTGTCTGCCAGCCTCAAGATGGCTGGGTGGTCAGCACCTGGCACAGAACAAACAGCCTCTGTTAGCTTGAAAGGTCAATGTAAAGTCAGGGGGAGGTCCTTGAGACTCTAACCACATCAGGGAAAGCAGCAAAGGAGAGGAGTCTTGTACGGAACTGAGGGTCCAGGCCTGGGGGCCCAGGAAAGCCAGCTGCAGGGGCAGCAGACAGTAGCCTCTCTGTGGCTCCACCTCAAACCCATAAGCAGGCTCTGACTCCCTAGGGGGGAACAAGGACTCACTGGACGGTGACCGGCCATCATATGATCCCCCCTTCCTGGAGGGAGAGAACCAGGTACCTGTCCTGAGGAGCTGCAGAGATGGGACAACATACTCCAAACCCCAACCTCTGCCACAAAGATAGTAAAGTATCAGACAACATACTCCAAACCCCAACCTCTGCCACAAAGACAGTAAAGTATCAGACAACATACTCCAAACCCCAACCTCTGCCACAAAGACAGTAAAGTATCAGACAACATACTCCAAACCCCAACCTCTGCCACAAAGACAGTAAAGTATCAGACAACATACTCCAAACCCCAACCTCTGCCACAAAGACAGTAAAGTATCAGACAACATACTCCAAACCCCAACCTCTGCCACAAAGACAGTAAAGTATCAGACAACATACTCCAAACCCCAACCTCTGCCACAAAGATGGTAAAGACAGATGACCCTGAGGTCATCTGGCTACAGGATTTCTGCCCATTCCAACAGGGTCCAGAAGACCTGGCCCAGCCACCGCCTCCCTGGGGGGCTGCCAGTCAGCCCCACCCCTAAAGGATTTACTTGCCCCAGTGTGCTAAATATTAGTGGCTCGCGTTTCTCTAAATGCAAAGTGTTTTCCATGTATGGATTCATCTCAACCTCAAAATGGTCCTAAGGACTATTATCAGCCCATTTTGTAGTTGGACTGGCAGAGGGGTTTTGAATTTTAAATTTTGTTTTAGCTAACAAATCCCTCCTTGAAAGGAAACAGTAAAAGAAAAACCAGGATGCGAAACAGATGGATTGGAGCCTGGGAGGAAGGGATGGGGGGTGACTCTGGTGTCCCACATAGTCAACATTCTTCCCACAGTGACTCCCAAGGGGTCCTAACAAACAAGGGGCCCTGAGGACTGGAGTCTGAGATCAAGGCTCACTCAGCTGGAGTCCCTTTCCTGAGGACCACCCAACTGGCCTGGCTAAGAGGAGGGTGGTGAAGCTGTGGGAAAGCTTTGAGAGATGGGACTGTCCACCCTTCACCAGGCTTCACCAACTTCGAAGCGGACTTGGGAAGGCTGGCTCCTGAATCTGGACCATGGCCCCCACTTTTCTCTCCAGAACCCCTTCCTTGGGAGACCCCACATCAGCCGAGCCCCATTGACTGGCTCAGAGCCCAGCACTTGAATGTGGCAGATTCTATGGGAGCTGGAGGGGCAGGAAGGGCGAGCAGCCAGGGCTCTGAAGAGGGAGCCTGGAGAAGGCAGGGAGGGGCGTCGGCGCAGCTGGCAAGAGGGGGTCCTAGATACCACCAGGGCCGGCCCCAACTTACAGCCCAGGACCCCTGAGGCCAAGACAGCACAAGTCCTGCCCAGGTTTCTCAGAGGCTGGGTGGCAGGACTTGAACTGGAAGCCAGATTTCTTGACCTCTGGCTCCAGCCCCTGGCCCCAACAGTATCTGCGAGAATCAGACTAAGGCAGGACCAGACAAGTCAAACGAGGACGAGGGACTCAATCGGAATCTCCATTCTGCTCTAAGTTGCCGGATGACCAGCGGCAGGAAGCACCTGCTTGTCGCAATTTCGCCAACGGACCCTGAAGGGTCTAGTGCCCTTCCAGCGCCCACCCTCCACCTCCGGGTTGAGCCACCCCGGCACTCTGCCTCGGCCACTTAACAGACGGCCGAAGAACAGCCGGCCCGCCCGGTGGGATCCAGCCGGCCCGCCCGGTGGGATCCAGCCGCGGAAGCCGCACGTTCCAGGCACAACCCGGACGCTGATCGCACACACGAGCGTCTCTCCGCACAGGCACAGCGCCCACGCCCTCGCTCACAAACTCCCACACTCCCCCGGCCCCCGCCCAGCTCGCTCCCACGCCGTCCGCCATCAGCGGACGCTCAAGCCTCAAGCCTCGCCGCCGGCGCCTGAGCCCCCAGGTCGGCTGCGGGCGAAGGTGGGGCACCCGCGGCAGGCCGCGCCTACCACTCTTCGGTCCCGCCCCCTGGGCTGAGCCCCGCCCCCTACCGCTCCTCGGCCTCGGCCCCGCCCCCGGCCCGGCCGGAGGATGTGAGCTCACTCCCGCCTCCCTACTCCCGACGCCGCCAGGAAGCGGCCGCCCGAGGTCGCCGCCCGCTCGCTAGCAACGGACCGGCCACGGAGTCACCAGCGCGCCAGGAGCCCGGGCAGAATCCTCTGCCCCTACCCTTCCCGCGCCACACAGTAGCTGCTTTCCAAATGGGTACAGAGTGAAGGCGGGCGGCAGGGCTGGCGCTAACCCCGCTCACAGACGCCCCGCGCCGCCTGGCCTCTCGGGTCGCGGGGAGAGCGCCGGCGCGGACGCCCCGCCCACCGCTCTTCCGGCCAGGCCACGTGACCGCGCGCGCACGTGTTTCGGCCTCTAGGTGCCGCGGGCCGGAAGCCGGTCCCGGCCGGCGCCCAGCCGCTGTCCACCAAGAGCTGGCCCGGGCTAGCTGGCAAGGCGGCGGGTCCGGGAACGGCGCAGAGGCGGCGCCCGCCGGAAAGTGGGCAGCGGCCTGGCCATGAACCCCAGGGGCCTGTTCCAGGACTTCAACCCGAGTAAGTTCCTCATCTACGCTTGCCTGCTGCTCTTCTCCGTGCTGCTGCCCCTCCGACTGGACGGCGTCATCCAATGGAGCTACTGGGCCGTGTTCGCCCCCATCTGGTTGTGGAAGCTTCTGGTCCTCGCGGGCGCCTCTGTCGGCGCGGGCGTTTGGGCGCGAAACCCGCGCTACCGCACGGAGGGAGAGGCCTGTGTGGAGTTCAAGGCCATGCTGATCGCCGTGGGCATCCACCTGCTGCTGCTCATGTTCGAGCTCCTGGTCTGCGACCGGGTGGAGCGGGGGACCCACTTCTGGCTGCTGGTCTTCATGCCGCTCTTCTTTGTGTCCCCTGTGTCCGTGGCCGCCTGCGTTTGGGGCTTCCGGCACGACCGGTCCCTGGAGCTGGAGATCCTCTGCTCCGTCAACATCCTGCAGTTCATCTTCATCGCCCTGAGGCTGGACCGGATCATCCACTGGCCGTGGCTGGTGGTGTTTGTGCCACTGTGGATCCTCATGTCATTCCTTTGCCTGGTGGTCCTCTATTACATCGTCTGGTCCCTCCTGTTTCTGCGCTCCCTGGATGTGGTTGCTGAGCAGCGAAGAACCCACGTGACCATGGCCATCTGCTGGGTAACGATCGTGGTGCCGCTGCTCATTTTCGAGGTTCTGCTGGTGCACAGGCTGGATGGACACAACATGTTCTCCTACATCTCCATATTCGTCCCCCTTTGGCTGTCATTAATCACATTAATGGCCACAACGTTTAGGCGGAAAGGGGGCAACCATTGGTGGTTTGGTATTCGCAGAGATTTCTGTCAGTTTCTGCTTGAAATTTTCCCATTTTTAAGAGAATATGGGAACATTTCCTATGATCTACATCATGAAGACAGTGAAGATGCTGAAGAAACGTCGGCTCCAGAAGCTCCTAAAATCCCTCCGATGTTTGGAAAGAAGGCCAGGGTGGTGATAACACAGAGCCCTGGGAAGTGTGTCCCCCCACCCCCCAAGCTAAATATTGACATGCCTGATTAAACCTCTTCTGCGGAGTGCCCACCAGTGGAAGAGAAGTCGTATACACGCACAATCCACCTTCCTTTGGCCTCTTTGCCCATCCATGCCAAATCTGGAACTGAAAACAGGCTTCAAAACATCATTTCATGCTTTGAAATTGCTGCCTATTGGTGACTCATCAGTATTCACCAGAGATGCAGGAGGTTCTTTTACTGTGTAGGTGTGTGTGCGCACGCGTGCTGTGTGCCCCCATGTGTGAGGAACTTGTTTTCTAGGCTCATGCTTGCAGAGCTAGCTGAGAGCAGAAAATTGAGTTGTTCTGGTAGGTCCTCAAATGGAATAACTACCTGTGGTTTTTTAAAGTGGTACTATACCTATCGAAAGTATTTAGAAAAGTATTTTTATACACTGCTAACGTAAAATTGTATTTCAGATTGTGCCTGCTGTGACATAATAGCAAATGTAAAGAATTCTCTTTCCCACCACTTGCATATAAACCTCATAGTTGTTATTGTCAGTGTTTCCGCTGTTAAAATGGTTTTTCTTTGGGCCTTACTGATACTGGTCTGTAATAGCCTAATAGGTGAATTTTTCTAATGTAGTGAGCCCACCCATATTTATATGACTATTTTAGCAATGCAATATATATTATGTTGAATTCTAGTTTTGTGCAGTGTATTATGTTAAAGTATTTTTTTTTAAGTTTGTGAAAATATATATGTCTACTGCAGATGTTAAAAATTGCTTAAAACATGAATATGTACCTGGTGTGGGGTCTTATCAGTTCTAGGCATGAATACAGGGATTGAAGATCCCGAGGATCTTACTATTCAGGTGTTAGAGGATTCCAACAGTTGGGAGGCCTCTCTTGGAAGGAACCACTGACCTTTGGGAACAGTTGACATGCCTCAGTGTGGTATCAGACCCTAAAGTGACACCGTTATTTAGCACCTTGAATTTTTCCACACAGGCAAGAACATCTCTTCAGGAACAGTCAAAAGAAGCAGATGGTTTGTGCATTTCTAAGAATCTTAGAATCTTAGTTGGCCGTGATACAGTGATGATTGTACTTGTCATTGGAAAGCCAGAGAAGTTGACCTTAACCTGAAATGGCCAACAGATTCAAGTATTATTTTAAGGCCCAACTTTCTTGATCGGGCAGTGACAGGGAAATAATAGCTCAGTTTATTTTTTAAATAAGTAGTTTTTCTAGGTACTGGTGGTACCAGGGAATCAGAAGCGTGAAAAGCATGTCCTAGGAGAGTAATGTTGTTCTGACTAAGAACAAATAAATACCTTCAAAAAGGAGGTTATCCTTTAAAAAAAAAAAAAAGGTTAAAAGTAAAAGGAGTGTTGATATTATTACTGGGCTCCATATGAACTTAAGTAGAGAGTCTATCTGGTGAGAGGACAAGCTAGCAGCAAAAGCCAGCCCTTTGGAACCCAGGTCCCTGGAAGCCTAAAGGCGCCGTAGCTCAGTTTAGTACCTAGAGCTGAACTGAGGTCAGAGCCACACATAGTTGGCTCCTGCCAGCTATCAGGATGTGGGAGGTGGCCTGAGCAACTGTGGGTGTATTGTCTCCTAAGTGAAGATTCATTCATTTTCTTTGTCAACAAATATGTATTGAGGAGAGGACCTACTCTGAGCCAGATATGTATGTGCAGATCCATTGGAGAGCAGTTCAAATGTGGCCCCGGCCTGCTCGTCACAGTAGCCTGCCTATGGGAAAAGCCAGGCCAGCATACACGGAGGATGCCCCTGGCTCAGGGTGAACTTCACCTGAAACAGGCCCATATTTCTTTCTGGAGCCCTGCCCTGAATGCCCTTCCAATCCCAAATAATACCCCAAACAGCTTAGTTTACACTTTGAGAAGACCTGGGAGGAAAGGAGAAGGTTACCTGAGGAATCAAAGGGCAGGTTCAACAGCAGCATTGGGACATAACCTGTCCCTCCTGGTTACAGTTTAAGACCAGGGACTTGTTGACACCTGAAACAATCCCTCCTAACCTGAGGGGTCACCCCCACACTTAGCCTACCCATCTCCTCATTATCCCAGGGTGGCCTGGAGTTGGAAAGCCAGTGCCTAGATGTGATGACACGCTTGTTCACCCAGTGGGTCTTCCCCTGTCAAGCCACTTTCCTGCCCCAAGACCATATTAAGTAAAAACAGTGGGAATGACAGTTGTAGAAAAGTTTTTTCATCTATAAAAGTTAATACAGTCTCAGCTCTGCCTGGGGATTTACCTAATGGCCAGTGCGACTCTGACTATCCACAATACGTAGCATGTGTTAAATTCTGTAACTAGTTTGTTCTGTAAGATGCTTAGTCAGTTTTTACTGTGAAACATCCTCAAAAATCTTAGCACTCTACCAATTACAAATTTTCACTCTGGGGCCTGTGGCACTTACACTCCAGGCTGTGGCTATGGTCCAGGTCTGTCCCAGGAAGCATCCCGCATCCCTGATTCTATTCCAGGTCCTGCAGCAGGACCAGCAGTCCCTGGGAGATGTCCTTTCTCGTGGCAGAAGCACAAGAGGCCAAGCCCTTCCCACAAGCAGCCCCGTAATCCCCATCGCACATGGTGTGGGACATACTGTTCTGCAGGTCCAAGCACAAGGCCAAGCCCAGCCTCAGGGTGGCCAGTTCAAGCCGGAGGAACACCGACAGTCTGCACCGACGTGCAGTTTTCAGTTATGTGTGCAGTTTCACACCGTTCTCACCAATGGGATAGTTTTGAAGGATGGAATCACCAAATTTGTGGTAGAGTTATTTCCCCCCTAACGTTTTACAAACATTCTGTCATGTTTTAAAGTTCACTGTTTACTATTGTGATAATAGAAGGGAATCTCGGGAGGGAGGAGGGGATTTGAGGTGAGATGAGAAAGACCCTGCATTAAGACCCCTCTAGTGTGGAGGGTTCTGGGGGCTCCACACACAATGGGTTTATAACAGTGCTGGACTCGAGGGTTTCCCTGGGGACCCTGCAGGGTGTTCTGGAAAGGCCCAGCCTGAGCACATGGGGACCAGCCAGGTAAGAGGTGATGGGAAACAAAAGCGGAATCTAGATCGGCCTCAGGAGCATTCAGGAAGTTCACGCTGGCAGGAAAACTGGGACCAAACTCCGCAGGTGTGTGCGGGTCAAGGGAAGTTGTGCTGCCAGAAACCGCAGCAAGTTTGTACCGCAGGGACCATCTGGTGAGGGTGCTGCAGCTGGGGACCCCACCGTCTGTCACAAGGCGCTGCCCCCAGCATGACAAATGCCACCAGTGTGGTCCCTGCTGCCATGAGCACCTCGGCCGCCTGCCAAAAGCTCAAGACTCAAGGACCCGGAGGGCGGGTGTGATGGGCGATCCTCACGTGTGCATTCGCCCTTCCGACTCTAGAACTGAGAGGGGAGGTGACCTGGTTCCTGTGGAGCTTCGAGGAGGAGGCTGGCCGGGCTCAGCCAAAACATGCTCAGTCGAGGATCTGCCCAGAAGAGAAGGGTGTTCAGACACTGGGTGACCAGAGCTGATGACCAAATCGGTCATGTGTCCATATGAGCTTATGCTTCAAAATCACTGCTCCCGTCTGGCAGGACACAAGTGGCCTCGAGACCAAGCAGGGATCACCCCTCCCCGGGCGGGGAAGGGAGACGATGCAGAGCTGCTGCATTGATTCCTTCATCCACCTCTTCATCCACGGCGTTGAGAGACATCTCTTCCTCTCCTGTCATGTTCTCTGTATATTCTAGAATGTGTGGATTAAAGTGACTACCAGAGCAGGCCGAGGATCCCAGGGGCCTACAGGTATCTCCCCTCCTCACGCCACCTCTGGGGGAGGCAGATTCTCTTCATCCTTCAGCCGAGACGACACTCCATAGTAGGTGAGATGTGGACACAAACCTGAGACACAGCGCCTTCTACTAAGCCAGATGCTAAAGGCTTGCAAAAATGCAAAAACAATACCACTCCTCTACTCACCAGATTTCTTGTTATTTTTCATTAAAAAAAAAAAAGTTAACAGGTAACGGACTTTTTGTTTTCAAAAGAAATAATATTTTTTAAAAGTCATCGTTTTTCCTGTCTCGTAAACGTTACTATGCACAGAAAGGCACCTTGGGGTCCTCAGCAACGTTTACGAGTGTTGAAGGGGTCCCATGACCAAAATCTTTTGAGAACTGCTGCCCTGTATTCCTGTGGGTGGAAGAGAGAGGAAGGAAAGCGAAAACTGGGTGAGATACATTGAAATCCATGCCCATGGCGGGGAAGGGACAGTAAAAGGCACTGGTCTGCCCCACAGCTTAGAGGATGCTCCCTCTCTGCTACCCTGCATGGCCCCGTCGGCCTCTGCTAGCCCTCAGGCGGCGGGGTTATGTAGCCCAGTGGGGTAGCTCACGCCTTTGTTCTGGGGGGCCTGAGCCCTTTGCTGGTCTTGCTGGGTTTCATTTATTAATAATTTCACCTAAAACGACGAGGGTCCTAAGGGACTGCCTGGGAACTGGCCGCGATCCCCTTCCCTTTTTGTGGGAGCCACACTTACCGCGGGTCCCCCCACCCCGCCCCCACTGCAAGGGTGGCCGTGTTGGCTGGAGGAGGGTGACCCTGACTGCCAAGAGGGAGTAGGGATGGACAGTCACCCCCCTGGAGCCATGGGCCACCTCTGTGTTCTCAGGACGTCCTGTTGGCTAAATCGCTCACTGAGGGGCCTGGGAGGGGAAGTGGGCTTCAACACCTCCCTCCACCGCGGAGGCTGCGGGCTCCCTGGGTCCCCGCTCCACCCACTGATGCCCTTCCCCACGCTGTGTGCGCAGTGCGGGTCCACTGGGTCCATCCCATCTCTTGCCCCCTGCCGACCCTGCTGCTCCCAGGAGCCTGGCCACAGGGGCTGCCCCTCCTGGGCAGGGGCCTCCCGCCTCCGCCTGCTGCACAGCGCAGCCCTCGCACGTCTCCTTGACCTGAGCAACTCTGGGGTGGAGGTGTGACCAGTCAGATGTGGCTGAAGTCCCACCCCTTGGGGCCCACCCACCCCGCTTCCCACTACCCAGCTTGTTTAAGGTCAGGACTCGGGGTGTGTGTGGGTGGAAGGGTGGGCTGCTGTCCTGGTGGTTAAACATCCTGAGCTTCACTTAGGGCCCCTTGTCTACTCAGGCCTGACTTGCCTTTCTCCTTGGTCCCTGCCTGGCTCTTGTCCCCTTGGACAGGACACCTGGTCCTGGTCTCCCAGCTGACCCTGAGGACCACGCCGGTCTCCGCCCCAGGCCAGGGGTGCATGCCATAACCACAGGACTGTGAAGCATCAAATACACCCCTAAGAGCTGGGAGATCGGGGCCACAGCCACCTGGACCCAAGTCCTAGCCGAGGGAGGTTAACAGGGCCAGGACACCCCAAGGGGCCCGTTCCCTTGTTGGCCACGGCCAAGCCCTGCTGCCCCCGCCCCCTAGAGCAATCCCAGGGCACTCTCGCAGGTTCAGAGGGCCTCCCGCCCAGCAGCACCAGCATTGAGGCCAGGACCACAGAGCCTCAGTGCAGCGGCGGTGCATGGATCCAGACCAGCCCCGGCGTCCTCCCGACCTTCATGCGGGCCCACTGCACCTCTCTGGCTCAGGGACCATCCTGCTGTTTTGATATGCCAGACAAGGTCAAAGGCCCACAGTGGGGGAAAGTTGGGGACCTCAAGGGGGATGAAGAGGCCGCACCACCGGGCAGACAAGCCCAGGCGGGAAGTCCTGCAGAAGCAGCGGGCGGCTCTGGTTGCTGCCGGGACTCGGGGCTGGATGGGTCTCCCATCACTCGGGCACCGGCTGCCCTGCCCTCCTCTCCAGCTGGGGAGCAGGTGAGCCCCTCCTGGGAGGTTTTCCTACAGACCTGAGAAACAAGACCATCCACAGGGCCTCTCGAACTGTGTCTGGATCTCCGTAATGAACCGATGAGCTGGCGGGAAGCGCAAGTCACCCCTCAGTTCTGAGCCTGAAGGGCCCCCCAGCCTCCTTTCTGAAAGACCCCCCACATTCATTTACCATCATGACTTGTGCAATTCCTGGCTACCCTGAAGGTGCCCTGGGAGGGCAGAAACAGAGCTGCTTTTGGAAAGTTTGGCTACTTGGTGAAAATTCCTCTCTTTTTCTCAGGAAACCTAGGAAGGACTCGAAGTTTCTGCTGGCGTGGTTTCTGCCTCCTCTTTCTAACTGTGACTTTTCCGACTGCAGCAGGGCTTTCTCAGTTTGGACATTTTGATGATCTTGATGTGATCCGTTATTCTATCTTTTTCAGGTAATTTAGTGTGCCTTCCATTTCCTGTTTCTTTTCTCATTTTGTAAAAATGAGTTATTCGTTGTTGGGTTTTTTTGGCCACGCTGGGTCTTCATCGCTACGCGTGGGCTTTCTCTGGTTGTGGCGAGTGCGGGCTATTCTCTAGTTGTGGCGCATGGGCTCAGCTGTCCCGTGCCGAGTGGAATCTTCCCAGACCAGGGATTAAACCAGTGTACCGTGCGTCGGCAGGTGGATTCTTTACCAGTGGGCACCAGGGAAGTCTTCCTGTTTCTTTCTCACAAGTTTTCAAATAAAGGTTGAACTTGAACAAAGGCTCCTCTTCTAGGAGGTCTCTGTCCTAACATCCTACCGCAAGCTGCCCCTTCCTCGCCATTCTTCCCTCAAGATGGGACTCTCCTTCAAAGCATCTTCCAGTGTTGTCTACAATTGTTCTTTCTTTGATGGATTTCCTTGCTTTGGTTGCTTTGGTCACAGGTCCTTGAAATAGGATGTGATTCTGTCCATTTTCTCAATCTTTCTGGCGAGTCTCAGCCCGACGTATCTGAGTATATAGATTTCGCATCTTTCAGGTCTTTTTAAGAAGTCTCTGTTGAGCTCAAGAGAAGACTGGGATTTTCAAGCTTTTTGTCTCCAGTGTTTGTGTTTCCTTCAAGCAAGAACAATACCAAGTGTCTTATCTGAAGTGACTAAGTCCTGGGGTAGGACTGACTTCTCAGCCCAGTGATTCAGCAGCTTGACGACTTCATCAAGGCTCCTCTGTCTGCTGCCGCCTCTGTGGTAGCTTCATCCTCAGCCTCATCCCCAGGGGCCGCCGCTGTTTCCGACACCGGGTTGGAGAAACAGCCTCTCCTCGCCAGCTCTCAGCCGGGAGCAAGGGAACCCTTCTGAGGAGCCCTCCAGCAGACTTCGCCCATCTCACTGGCCTGAACTGGGTGAATGGTGAATTACACTGATGGATTTTCATTCCAGGATAAATCCTACTTAGTCATTATGTCATATTCTTTTAAATGTATTATTGGATTCAATTTGCCCAAGTTTTGTTAGGAATTTTTGTACCGATGCTTGTGAAAGATGTTCATTTGTAGTTTCCTTTTTGTTGTGAAGTCTTTGTCTAGTTTTAATAACAGGGAAATGCTGGTCTTATAGAATAAGTTGGGGGTATTCCCTCTCCCATTCGTTGCAAAGCTGTATAGAATGAGAGTTACATCTTCCTTAAATGTTAGTTAACGTTCTCCAGGGAGACCATCTGGCCTGATTTTCTTTGTGGGAAGATATTTAACTACAACTGCAGTTTGTTTGTTTATTTACATGTTGTCCACAGCTCTTTTGTCCTATACTGACGGTAGTTGCAGGAGGCAATATGGGCGGCAAAGCTTAAAATATATGTATCTGGCTCTTTTCAGAAAAAGTCTGCTGATTCCTGTGCTTAAGACAATGAAGCCTGAGCTTAAGAGCTGATTGACGAAGCTACATGTGAATTTTAGATATTTTCCTCCCTAACTGAAACATCAGAGAATGTGACACAGTAC